AGATTTGACAAACCCATATGATTTTTCGATTTTTTTCTTTGAAATGTGACTCCCATAAATCTGAATCCATGAAACTAAACGGGCCCTAACTAAATTTTGATTTCTCATTTTCTCGAGGGCCATTGACCTTTCAATGAATATGATCCTTGTAAGGCCAAACTTATACTATCTAGAAAAACAATTCCTTAACATTCGAAGAAGAGAGATGATTGAGGGTTCGGGAGGAAGAGAGAAAGGGCGTGAAGTTTGGAAGATAGAGAGATAATGGGGTGAAAAAAATTCATTTTCAGAGAATAAAATTTTCACCTATTTAGTTGGAACATTTTTTTCCCAAAATGAGGCGAACACGAGGATGGTCAGAAGATTTCTCTCCCAATTCAGGTGTCAATTATTAGAAATAAATAGAGATGCCTCATTCCTAGGAAAACATATCCTAGAAATTAATTTTTGATGACCCAAGAGGCCCCTTAACATAAATTTTCTTCCCTCTTTCTCTCTCCCCTACCCTTTCCTCAACTCTTTATCTATTCTCATTATTTATTTATTTCTGTTTCTATTTTGGAAATTTTTTATAGAAATTTATTTCAGGGATTCAAACTCTCTTATCCAGATCATTGCTTCCCTGATTCCAACTGAATTCTTAGAATACCAGTTTGGTCGATCAATCTGATTTTTTAAATACTGATCTATAGTAAACTTATTTTCACTCCATTTTTTATAGTTTGTCATTGATCATCCACTTTCCTTGATATCAGTTCCAAAGTTTCCAAATGTTTGTCAAAGCTCATCAAGTTGACTATGAAATTCATGAATATGGAAAAGGGATTGGGGTCGTGACGATAGCACCCCACACCCTAATCATTACGTTGTGGTTTCCATTCCCTCCACTAGCATTACTTGACTAATACTTTCGAAAAACTAACTCCTAATCTATTTAAAAAACAATAATAGGGCATATCCTTCCATAGAATTATCCAAAAAAAATCATAAATATATCTTTATTTGACATCCTCTTTTCAAGCATATGCTCTCTTTTTCTTCTTTGCATTTTGTGGGAGTGGAGCTTTCCATCTTCATAAGGAATCGGCCGTCACTTCAACGTAGAGAGAGGGAGAGTCTAGTCTCCGGGGCCATCACTTTCTTATTAAGAGCTTTCGAGTTTTTACATAAAGAACGTTTTTGAATTTCAATTGTAAAGGTGAATTTCTCTTTAGAGTAATTTATGTACGGATGCAAAAAGGAAGCTAATTTTTTAAAAAAATTATGTGGAAAGTCGATAACTTGTGATTTTTTATATTTTACAAAATTGCCTTTGGGTACTAAGATGCCATCCACACACTACTTTTTAATTATTCTTTTTAGGTTCTTTCTTTTTTTAATAGTGGCCACTTGGCTTAGTCTAGAGTGCAGTCCGAGGTCCCCATACTCGAATCGTTCTTTTCTTCTACAAAAAAAGAACAAAGAGCAGTCTGAGGTCCCCATCTTCCGACTGTTATGAAATTGAGCTCCTACTAATAAAAAAAAAAAAACGGGCATCTTTGAATTGAAAGGTAATTTTAAAAAATTAAAAAAAAGTTGGTCAACCGATCTTCCGTGTCTTTTTCATCCAACTTGACCAAATTCGTATTTTTATATTATTTTATCAGTATGCAAATTACTTTTCTCTTTAATTCTTTTTAAGTCTATCCAACATGCTCTAAAATATAAATAAATAAAGCAAATGATCTCATGCTTGTGCATGAGCATATAAAGCATTCACTCCCTTAGGCCGTTTCTAGTAACTATTAAAAGCTCTAAATTTGTCTGAAGGGAGGGACGTAACTTCAAGAGAAAAACACAAAAAAAGAAAAAAAAAAAAATGGATTGTCTACAAAGAGATTTTTATCTTTTGTACTGAAGTTATAATCATTTTTGTCTCTTAAATTTCCAAATGGGTGGTTGTAAAAATGTCATTTGAATAGATACAAACTTCAAAAAAAAAAAAAAATCTTGGATTTTATGACCCACAAGCCATCCAATTTGTCATCTAATAAATGAGAATGATTGTGATATCCATGTACAAAAGATTAATGGTTTATTTGTAGACAATCCCAGAAAAAAAACATATGAACTCTTGTTCTGCCTAAAAAAGAATGTATGAAGATTGTGAAGAGAGACCATGCAACTTTTAGATGACTATATTTACGTGTTTAAAAAATGAAAATGAAAATTTTGTTTAAAACTAATTTATATGGCGATTCTAAAGTAGATCCCAAAATTTTATATAAGATAAGGTGCTCTTAAGTATGGTTTTTAATAACTGCTAATTCATATTGCGATAGTTGATTTTGATTTATGCCCAACTCTCTCTAATTTATGATGGGTGCAGTTTTGCATACGGATGCATCCGCAGGTGTAGAGGTACAGTGCACCTTCAAAATTTATCATGGTATATAATTTTGATGTAAAATGTTCTTAGGATTATCTCAAAATCTATTTTTACATCTAATTATAAATTTTTAAAATTAAAAAATGGTTAAAATCAAGTAGATATATAAACATATGAAAATCTTAAAAATGGATGGTGTAGATAATATGTTGTAAAATGCACTGTATCTAAGACTTAAAATCTTTTTATTTTTCATAGTCATACATCTCAATGTCAAGATGATCAATCAAAGGGTTTTTCAACATTAAAACTACATTTTTCGATGGATTTTTGAGGGGCATCTGTAGTTCTATATTATGAGGTAGCATCCTTATATAAACTTTTTCCATTTATGATTTATCAAACAAAATTGTTTGAAAAACTGTTTGTTTGATGATTTAAATAGTATAAATTTTGATCTATGGTTCAATGAACTGATTCTTCCGTTTTTTTCTTCTTTGGATCATTGTAAGACCAACTTTGCTTTGTGGAGCATAATGTTTAGCAGTTAAGCAACAACATATCCGTATGATATGTGTAGCTGAGATAATAATGTTGAGATGGATGAGTGAAAATACAAAAAGAGATAGAATTCGAAATGAATATATTTGAGAGAACTTAAGTGTCACTCTAATAGGTGATAAGATGAGAAAAAATATACTTAGGTGGCTTGACCATGTGCAACGTAGATCCAATATAATATTTGTTAGGAGGTGTGGGTTGGTTTATATGAAGTAGTGAGAAAAGCTATGACAACCTCACTAAGGGTATGACCTTTAACATAGCAGAATAAGATTCGTGTAGCCGACTTCAAATAGTTGAGAAAAAGCTCTAATGATAATTCAACCAATCCAGATTGTCCAATGCAACTTATCTAAATCAGCCCATTAAGTGTGTAATCTAGAACCTGATTTCGGTTTTAAAATGTTGCTCTCAAGGGCAAGGGGGGCAATCGTGTGTGGTTGACCTACTGACTCGACAGTTCGACCCAAACGAGATCTGGGTCGGGGTCCATGTTGTGGACCTTGGCGGGTCCGGTCCAGATCCATATGACTTGGATTTAGGGCTAGCATGGACACTATTAGGTTGGGCCAGGTACGGGTCAACCAGACCCAATAAAAAAGTATACTATACAATGTTTAACATAATTTTTTTATTTTTTTAATTTCTAAACCTTGGTACGAGCCCATGTAAAACTTAGTCGAGTCGGGTCTTGTTTGAGTGAAGATGCAAGCGTATAGAATACTCTCACAAGAGTACCATGCACCAGCTGAATTCATAAACTAATATTTATCTCGGTCACTCTCTCACAGGAGTACCATACAGCGGCTGAATTCATAAGTAGTTATTTGTCTCGATCAATTCCAATACTTGAGGAGAGAGAAAACTATTAAGGATAGTCCTCTTCACCTTTCTTTATCCTTATTTTACAGGGAAAGGGTTTGGTAGGGGTGTAGCGCTATCAAACCCTCATCTCATACTTGGTCAAAATTGTTAAGTGAAGTGTTAAAAGACCTTTACATCCATCCTCTCGAATTAAACATTATAAATGTAAAAATTATTACCATTTCAAACTGTAAAAACAATATATATTATAAAAGAGAAATAATCATATAGGATCTTCTCACCTTTGCGTATAAGATCCAAATGATCACAATTAAATTTGGCACGGATCTATAGATAAATCAAGTCCCCCACCTATGTGATAACTTTTACAGAGATCCGTATCAATTTTAACGATGATCATTTGGATTCTTACAAACATGGGTGAGAGAGGGTCCTATAAGATCATTAATCAGTATAACAAATTACTTAGACCGTTAATTTTGCCTTAGAAATAAATATTTACATATCCATAAAAGTACAATTCTTTTAGTTTCAGATTATATTGTTGGTTTTGAAAATTGATTTTAAAGCCATTGTAGAGATTTTTATTGTACTTTTTGAACAATGATTTGAAGTGAGGTTTTATTTTGTTTCTACAAAGCATTAGCCATATTGCCATTCAAAACGATGCATATAAAAAAAAACCTTGGCCATTTAGAAGCCTCATCCATTAAATTATTATATATGGGTGCAGTTTATAGAGCTGAGGCTCTAAACAATCAAAGTAAAACACACTTTTGAATAGTATCAATAAATATAATTTTAATATTGGAAATCTTTATGATAACCTTAAAATATATTATCTAATTATAAAATTTAAAATTTAAAAGACAGGATAGATCGAGCAGATCTATAAAAACTTGAAAATCCTAAAAATTAACGGTCAAAAAATGCATTACAAGATGCACTATTCTCAAAACTTGAAATATATATATTTTTTTCATGTCCATGCATATCGAGGCCGAGATGATCAATTTGAGGATATTTGGGCATCAAAACGACCTCTTTTTATGAATTTCTTGAGGTGTGCTCTAAATTGATTGTTTAGAGCCTCGGCTTTACAAAATATTTTTCCCTCATATATATGTCTAGTCCGTAAGTTTTATATTTAGTTACGATTTAGTTTCACTTTGATCGCTCGAGACTTTTGCGAGATATATCGTACGTGTAGAAGGGAAGGGGGAAGGGATTCGGAGCAAGAGAGAGAAACATTAACTGTTTTAGAGAGAGAAACCTGAACAAAAGGATGTACGTGTATAAAGGAAGGAGAGAGAGGGCTTTGGAATTAGAGAGAGAAACATTACCATTTTAGAGTGAGAAACCTTAACAACATTATTGTGGGTTTCCTTTTTTGTTTGAGAAACATCACCTTTTTAGAGAGAGAAACCTTAACAAAATTATTGTGGGTATCCTTTTTTTTTTATTTCTTCTAGTGAGAAATCGAAGATTCTCCATTCTGTTTCTCTCCAAAGAAGAGCTTCTCAGCGAAATCTAAGTCCCGACAGTTCTCAAACAATCAAAACCAATTATTTTTTTGACGAGTTGCTAACCTCTCTCTCTCTCTCTGTCTAAATTTATCAGAAGACTGCAATCTTTCTCTCTTTCTAAATTTATCAGAAGACTGCAATCTCTCTCTTTCTAAATTTATCAGAAGACTGCACTTTCTCTCTCTTTACGCAATCACCCACCAATCCTGTCCTAGCAAAGAACCCACCACTCATCAGAGGGTCGTCTCCTTTTCCTTCTAAAAAACCAGAGCTTCACAAGAAGCTGGGTCTCCCCCATCTGCGCACAAACAATTAAGGTCAGTGTGATGATCAGTGCCCTTCATGACCCTTATTTTTATTTTTGGTATTTTATTTCCCCTATTATTAATTACTGTTTTCTCTCTCATCACCATTTTACGTGACCAATAGATCTGCTTGGATATTCATTTTTAGATCTTGGTCTTACTTTGTTCGTGTGCAGTATGCGGTTCACTGTTTCATTGAAGCTGTATGTGGGTGATTTTTTATTAGGTATTTGGGCATTGGATCTTTAAAATAAAAATTGGGTTTTCATCTATTTGTCAAACAATTGGTCAAAAAAAAAAAATAAAGGAAGAAAGAAAAACTTATACAAACAGATAGAGAGAAGGATACAATTTTTAGTAACCAGTGAACTGTTTGATTGTATAAAGTTTTTAGCGTAGAAATTTTATCATACTCATGGAGAAGTTGTACAATACCTCTTAGGAAGTGCGAGTTCAGTAGGCTAAAAAAGTGCATTGGCCCCAAAGGATATGGCTAAATATAGTGAGGAAGGATAAGTGAACTGTATGGTAGCAGAGTGGCAGACCTGTATGGTATCAGAGTGGCAGATCAGAATTCGTGTATCCCGACCTCAATTAATTGGGAAAAGTTTATGGGAAAAGCCGACCTCAATTATGGCTTTGACGATGACGATGACAGCGACTAATGGAGAAGTTGGTGGTGATGTTAATCTCAAGTCCGTTAAGTTGGCAAAGGATCGGCTTTCTATTTATGCCACTATTGTAGGAGAGTCCATGGTAATTGCTAATTGACAGTAGTCAAAACTATTTTAGAAGTTAGAAGGTAAGATGAGATTATTGAAGCATTATTCAAAAATATTTTAGTTCTTTCAAATAGAAGAAATGGAATATTACCTACTTGGGCGGCTCCCTTTTTATGTGGGGCTCGTGGATTGCAACCGGGGGTTTTCTCATTCAATAAGTCTGCGACTATATAAATAGTTGGGAGGTTACTTTGCTCAAGCTTACTCTTTGTTTTAATTGGTATTATGCTATTGATTAAATCAGATGTATAAAACTGTATAGTAATTAGAGGATTCCTTGGCAAAGGAAGGGATGACTGGAGAGGCTTTTGTGTATTGAGCCTTTCCACATTTTGTGTGAGTTCCTTAGTAGCCGTTTTCTTTTAGCGCTTTGTTTGTTGCATCCATCTTCATTGCTCTTATTTATATTCTATTTTGTGCAACTTTGTCTATGCATATATCTATGAGCAATGAAATTTTACTTGAACCAAAGAAGGCTGTATAAAATAGGCACCAGTATGAAGGGATAATCCACTTTAAAGAATGAGAATCTCCAATCATGAGGGAAAGTTCATTCCAGTTTCTTACAAGCTAGGATTTCAGCTTTAGAAATCATCTTTTAAAGTGGATGAATAGTACATCTTCCCTGCCACTAATGTCCAAGATTTATTCAGTTATATCCGACCATGTGTGATATTATGTGGAATTCTTATTCATATCTTTCTCATATTTTGCCACTAAATGATTCATCTTTACCCATGAGACAGTTAGATTAGTATGTCAGATCAAGGTTTTGAGATATAATACCTTAGAAACATCGACAAAAAGGGACCAATAATTTCGAGCATCCCTAAATAAGGTTCCCCTTTCGACCTTCATGCTCAACGAACTTTGAATGTGTGTGTGTGTGTGTGTCTCAGAAACATTGGCAAAAGGGGACCAATAATTTTGAGCATCCCTAAACAAGGTTCCTCAACCTCATGCTCTATGAACTTTGAATGTGTGTTATGCATGTGTTAGTGAGAAACATATATTGCTACAGTACTTGCTCATGGGCTCCCAACCATACAATCGAATTTGACAGCAGGGGTTGCACAATAATATATGAATTTTATTTTTTTAAGAAATCAAGATTAAGCTGAATGAGGTTGTGTGCACCTCACCCTCATGCAGCCAAAAAATATACATAAAATTAAATGAAGATGAACAACATGCAATAAGAAAGTTTAAAATAGTCTATTGCTAAGGTATAAATTTTAAGGTCATAAGTATGTTAACAGTTTCCCACAAAAAAAAAAAGATCTAAAATCTATTTTAAATTCATGATTGTAGTGATTGTGATTATTGACTTTGAAGTTGAAGTCCAAAATCACTCTCTAAGAGGAATTTTTGAAGGTGACTGCATTTGAATAAGTGCATAGGCTGAAGCACAAGCAATTAGCATGTAGTTGACGAGAACGCTCATCTGAAATGGATAGCTCATGTTTAAGTGAAGTGGTTTATCCATAAGTGATGTTGCATAAAATTCACATAACATATATTGTTAACACACTAATGTTGATAGAGCATATGGCTTGAAGGAGACAGGACTTTAGCCTCGTTCCAAATTAATGATTGTTGATGCATTGCCCTAGCAGATATGTAGTCCTCTACAATTGTGGATCTATTTGTTTGTCTGCTAATTCAGGTCTTTGGCCTTCTTGCATACGCATCTTAGCAATCTTAGGTTTCGTACCAGTATAGTGCTCTGTCTCTTAATTTTCAATTTACGTGATTCCTGTTCTACCATATGTCCCGCTGAAGTTACTATTCCACACAAGATGATCTATGCTACAAAGATTTTCTTGCATGTTTTTGTAGTCTATGTTATTTTGGTTCCTCACACGTCCTGTAACTTAAGTTTGTGGTAAATGACTGTATTCATTTTTTGTTCTTTTGGATAATTAAAACGGGCATACTTGTTTTGGTATTCTTTTGCTGGGAATGAGCTTAAAAATTGAGTTTTTTATATTATTAAATGCAGAAAAAGTACACATTGTTTTTTGATGGCTCAAGACAATGGTGGTGAGGAATCTCCTACTCAACGAAAGCCTGGTCTTTTACGAGATCAAGTGCAGTTGGTAAAAAGAAAGGATTGTGATCGCTATGAAATTGTACCAATTCCGGAACCGCTATCCTTTGAAAAAGGTTTCTTTATAGTCATCCGTGCATGTCAATTGTTGGCTCAGAAGAATGATGGGATTATAGTTGTTGGAGTTGCTGGTCCTTCTGGAGCTGGAAAGACAGTATTCACTGAAAAAGTACTGAATTTTATGCCAAGCATTGCTGTCATATCAATGGACAACTACAATGATTCCAGTCGCATTATTGATGGCAACTTTGACGGTATGTCTGATTTCTTCTACGAGTACAAGTTAGTACAATCCCTTCAACCAATACCCACTGTAATTGTCTGTAATTTCTCTAGTATATTTGCCAATTTAAAAAAATCTCCTCTATTACATTTCTGCATGGTCAAACATTATGATTATTTGTCATAATATGAGGTTGTTTATGACCATGTTCATCTGGAAGGATATAAGAAAATTAATATATATACAGCATGGTAGTTTTATTATGTGATACTCTTTAATTATTGAACTGAAACTGTGCTAACAATAAAAAAAATGAACTGAAAATTTACACGCAAAGCATGACTATTTTGGTCATGTCTACCCGGATATGTGCTCTTTGTGTGTGTGTGTGAGTGAGAGAGAGAGAGAGAGAGAGAGAGAGAGAGAGAGAGAGAGAGAGAGAGAGAGAGAGAGAGAGAGAGAGAGAG